CTTTGTGGCCATTTGGGAAGTGAACCAGTGGATGGGAGATATTGCTTGTGCTCACTTGCTCTTGCTGCGTCTTCCTGTGTCTCCTTCTCTGCTTTTGTAAATCTACCTTTCAAATAAACATTACAAGTCTTTTTAAAGATATCTGTTTTCATATTACTATTATTTTCCATTTTTGCCCACATTCTCTTCTATACAGAGGCTGTATCATACATGCTGTCATAACAGATCAAAAGCAGAAACAGTGAGATCTATGTCTGTTCTCCATTAAACCAGATAGTAAAGTGATTTGCAAAAATGTTAAACAGTGCTGCTCTTTTCACTAATTATTTTTGCTGTGAAAAAAATTTAAAAAGCTTACGTGTCTACGCACTGGGCTTATTCTATGGATTAATGCATGTTTTTTCAATGTCACAGTTTCTGGCACAAAAAACTGCAATATAAGAACCATATAACTTTTTTTTTTAATTAAAAACTTGTGGCATGTTTATTTTAAGAGCTTAAAGTAGTCCTCAGACCAAGAAGTTTGAACATTACTAATCTAGTTCTGTCGTTTCATACTGGGGTTTGTTTCTCTGTTCCTTCATGACGGGATCACTAGGCTAGTTGGAGTTTTCAGCAGTTTCAGATAATGCTGCTGGGAAAATTGCTATACAGGGTTCTTTCAGGATTATTTTAGAATACTACATTGAAGAAGCATTGTCAATTTTATAGGGAATTGCCAAGTGCCATATTATGTTTTTTGGGCATGTCTCTCTTTAGATCTCTGCCAAAAGATTAAATTTTGCCATTTTTTTTTCCAACTTGGTATAAATGATAGCTCATTGTTGTTTGCATTTTATGTTTCCTTGTTAATTGCTTTTTAAAAATATTTATTTTTTATTTGAAAGGCTGAGTTAGAAAGAGAAGGAGAAAAAGAGAGCTCTTGCATCCTTTGGTTCATTCCCCAAATGGCCACAATGGCTGGAACTGAGCCTATCAGGAGCTAGGAGCCTCCTCCAGGTTTCCCATGTGGGTGCAGGATACCAAGGACTAAGTCATCCTCTGGTGCTTTCTCAGGCCATAGCAGGGAGCTGGATTGAAAGTGGAGCAGCTGGCACTCTTTAACAGGTGCCCATATGGGATGCTGGCACGGAAGGTGGGGGCTTAACCTATTATGTCACATTGCTGGCCCTCATTGTGCATTTCTTAGATTACTAGTGAGATTGACCTTTTTCTTCCATATATTTATTAGCCATTTGCATTTTCTGTGTCTTGCACGTGTGTATCCTTGGTCCTTTTTGCTTAATGGTTTATGAATATTTTCATATTCTGCATACCAGAGATTGGTGATTATATATAATGAAAAGAATTTTCAGATTAATCTGTGGATTAGTTTTTTAGCTTACCTTATGGAATTTTTTATATGATTTCTTTGTGTAATCTAAGGAATTTTACTCATTCACTTAGAATGTTTTGTAATGAACAGGATTGACAAATTATTAAGATTAGTGGCAATGCTTTATTAACATGGGTGAGCTGCTTTACATAACTGAAAGCTAGTTTGAAAGGATGTACATTTCCTAAAGTCGTGCTGGTCTGGTAATTTGGCACAGTGTGCCGAACATAACTCATTATTACAACTAGATTGAGATTGCATTTTGTTTGACAATTCCTTATTTGAGCAAGAAAAATATGGTCTTAAGGAGTGTTTTGGGCATGTGTTGTGCAGAGGGCTAAAGTTCCCATGTCAGGGTTATAGTTTGAATCCCAGCTACTCTATTCTCCCATCCAAGTACTAACCAGACCCGACTCTGCTTAGCTTCCAAGATCAGAGTGTTGAGGGTGGAATGGCCGTAGACCCAGCTACTCCGTTCTGATGCAGTTTCCTGCTAATGTGTCTGGGTAGGCAGGAGGTGATGCTCACGTACTTTAGTTCCTGTTAACCCATATGGGAAACCCGGATGGAGTCCCTGGCTCATGGTTTCTGCCTATTTCAGATCTGTGGTCATTTAGTGAGTTAACCAGCAGGTGGAAGGATGTCATTTTTTTCTTGATCCACCTTTCAAAAAAATCAGTAAATCTTTTTTTAGATATATTTTTATTGGAAAGTTAGATATACAGAGAGGAGGAGAGATAGAAAGATCTTCCGTCCGGTGATTCACTCCCCAAGTGACTGCAATGGCCAGAGCTGAGCCAATCCAAAGCCAGGAGCCAGTAACTCCCTCCAGGTCTCCCATGTGAGTGCAGAGTCCCAAGGCTTTGGGCCGTCCTCGACTACCTTCCCAGGCCACAAGCAGGGAGCTGGATGGGAAGCAGGGCCACCAGGATTAGAACCAGTGCCCATATGGGATCCTGGCACTTGCAAGGCTAGAACTTTAGCCTCTAGGCTAGTGCGCCAGGCCCCAAGATGTTTTTTACCTTTAAATTTTTCTGATGAGAAAAAAGAAAGGAAACTAATCAGTGAAAATAATGATTTGTTGACCAGTTACTACTCACCTAATCAAGATATAGTGAGTAGGTACTTTCTGTGTAAGTGTAAATATCTGTTAGGAAATGTATAGGTCGTAGAAGATGCTGGACTTTGGTAGCTTTGCTTAATATTGTACAGTCTCCTGAAAGTTGGGCAACTGCTGAAGTGTTTTGAATAGGATAGTGCCATGATGAGAGTAGTGCTTTGGTAGGATTAATCTCCAATATTTCAGGAATCCTCAGTACTTGGCACCAGCTCTCACTGGTATAGAGTTCCGAATCATTTGTTGTGGGTGTGGCATAAAGGAGCAAGACCAGTTAAGAGAGGCTATTTTCATCCCACAGGGACTGAGAAAGCTGAGAGGGAGTGGTGCCTGGGAATAACATGAAAAGGCCAGATTCCTGGGAAGTTATGTGATAGTGATAAGATTTGGTCACCCTTTTGTATCTAACCAGGGATAAAGAAAAAGAATATAATAGGTCAGAGAATCAGTGAAAGTGTCAGGTATATGGATGTAGTGTCAGTATATGGATTTGGGAGTTGTCTTTCTGTATGTAGTAGTTGAAGCCATCATAATAAAAATAAATCAAAAGAGAACAGGCTAAATATACAACCCCGGGGAAGACTCTAGTAAGGGGGAGAAAATGCAGGGTAGCAAGCAGTTACCATGGTAGGAAAAGAATTAGAATGTTGCTTCTTTAAACAGAACAAGGAGAAGACTTGGCAATTGAGGAAATTGGGGCTGGCACCGAGGCCAGGTAGGTTAGACTCCCACATGTGACACGAGTATCCCATATGGACACCACTTTGGGTTTTGGCTGTTCTACTTCTGATCCAGCTCCCTGCTAATGTGCCTGGGAAGATAGATGATTTTGTGTTTATGGTTTCAGAATATCAGAGTTAAGACTATGATATTGTGCTCAAAGATGAATTAATTTCTACCATTTTATAGCTAGACCAGTCAGCAGTGGCCAGGAGAGTATAAATAACACTCTGGGGTTTTATTTCTCTGAATCAGAGGGTTTAGTTAAGAGAGGTCATTGTTAAGTTAGACAGAAATCCCAAAAAGGGTGTTTACTATAATTATGCGCTTTTGACTTTTACCCTTGTTCACCTTACTGGTTGAAAAATAACAGTACATAAATGTGGAGAAGTCATACGAAAATCATGCAGAAATTGCCTTTCCCCCACCCAGTACATTATATAGTTAAGTTGAACTTTTTTTTTTAATCTATTTTTATTGAAAAGGCAGATTTACAGAGAAAAGGAGAGACAGAGAGGATGATCTGTCTGCTGGTTCATCCCCCAAATGACCACAGTGGTCGGAGCTTAGTCAATACAAAGCCGGGAGCCAGAAGCCTCTTCTGGGTCTCCCATGTGGGTGCAGGCTCCCAAGGCTTTGGGTTGTCCTCCACTGCTTTCCCAGGCCACAAGCAGGGAGCTGGATGGGAAGTGGAGCAGCTGAGACAGGAACCAGCACCCATATGGAATATTGGTGCTTGGAGATGGTTAATTAGCCAGTTGAGCCATTGCACTGCCCCTGATTTGAACTTTTTTGAAAAAGGATTTTATTTATTTGAAAGACATAGCAAGAGTGAGAGAGAGATTGATCTTCCATCTTCTAATTAATTACCCAAATAGCCACAATAGTCAGATTTGGGTCAGGCCAAGAACTCTATATCTGGGTCTTCTATATGGGAGTGGTAGGGGCCCATGCATTCTGCATCTTCTGTTGCTTTTTCAGCTACATCTGCAGGGAGTTGGATCTGAAGCTGGGTAGCTGGGACTGGAACCAGTACTCCCATAGGGGATGCAGGCAGTGATTGCACCACAATACCAGCCACTTAAGTTGAACTTAAACCATTTTCCCTTTGTGAGAGCATGTAGTATATGGACTGAGAAGAAAGAATTCTGGACATGGGATCAGTGTTGCTGCAGTTGGTTAAGCTGCTGCTTGTAGTGCCACCATCCCATATGGGAATGGCAGTTCAAATCCTTGATGCTCCATTTTGGATCCACGTCCCTGCTTCTGTGCCTGAGAATGCAACAGATGTGGCTCAAGTACTTGGGCCGCTGCCACCCATGTGGGAGATCTGAATGGAGTTCCAGGCTCTTGGCTTAGACCTGGTTATTGCAGCCTTTTGGGGAATATAGCAGTGGATGGAAGATCTCTTTCTTAGCCCTTTCCTCCACTGCTCCTTTCCACTCCACCATTGTGCCTTTCAGATAAATAAATACATTTTTAAGGGAAAAAAGTTGCAGATCCTAGAAATATTTTCTGTTTTGATCTGAGTGGTGATTACAAAGGTTTTTGTTTGTGTCCAAATTCGTTAAGATAGGCATGCTTTGAAGTGTGTAAAGGGAGAGTTGACCTGATTAATCTGCCTTGCTTCGTCATACATGCCCAGTTACATCAGCCAAGTTCCCTTTTATTCTAGATAGCTGTGTTTTTTATAGATGTTTACTGTAACATAATTTGTGTCTCAAAAATGCAAATGTATTTTTGATATATAAATCACTAATATTTGGCTTCCCTTTCATCTCTATTTAGGATCTGTGACTGATGAGAATTAAAGGCCATGGATGAAGATGGACTTGAATTACAACCACAAGAGCCAAACTCGTTTTTTGATGCGACAGGTATATTACTTGTGCTGTTCTCTTTCCATCTACTGTGATTGGAGTTGGTTATCATGTGGGCGGATTGCTTGACTCTCAAACTCACAGTCACACTTAGATACCTTGTTCTCTTACCAATCTAGAAAGGTTAAAGTGAACTTATTATTTATTATTCCCCACTTTAAAAAATGTGTCTCCTTCACAACCATCATATATTGATCATCTGTAATATAAAATTTACAATGATTCAAAATCCACAAGTTTCCAAGTGCTGAAATAACACCTGAAATAGATAATTTCTTATCTTGACCTCACATGATAGGTGGTAGTCAAAAGATATATACTAAAAGCATTGTGTAATTTTATCTTCAGGCTGTGTACATGAAGTATAAATGAATTTCATGTTTAGACTTTGATTCCATTCCCAAGATGCCTCAAGATACCCACTTACCCAACGTGTATGCAGATATTCAAGCATCTTAGAAAATTAAAAATCTAAAACATTTGTGCTCTCAAGCATTTTGAAAAAGGGACACTCAAACTGTAACAACAGCAGCATTTGCAAAATTTTCCTTGTTCAGTTTTCATTTCGCCCAGTTATTCCACTAAGTCCTGTTGGCTCTTCCTTTAAACTATTCGTTGTGTATATCTGCTCCTCCTTATTCTGCTTTCACACAGACAGGTTCTGCCATTTTCTCTTAGCAATAACTGTATTATTTTCCTTGGCTTTAGTTCTCTTACATAGTCCTGTTGCAGAGTTCATAAAGTACCACATGATCATATCATTTCTCTGTTCTCCGTTAACCAGCAGATAAGTGTAATTCCAACTTCTTCGACATTCTGACCTCATCCTACTTTTATTACCCACTTTCTCACAAGTTTCTAAAAGGAGCCTTCTGCTTGTGGAAGATGGACTCTTGTTATTCCTCTCAAGTGTTCAAGGAAAATTGCATTCATAACTCCTAAAAACAGAAAAAGATAGTATTCGGGATTTCAGGTTATCCATGGTCCTAATTACATAACATTTTAAGCTGATGGCATTTGATTTTATAATACAAAATAGCTTTTTACATCATACTAGTATTGTTATACATAAAATGTGTTGTTTTCAGTGGACTTTCAATGATCAGATTGCTTTATTTTAAATAGAAATTTACTAGGAAAGTAAATATTAGTGATTTTTACTTTTCAGATTTTCTTAGCTTCTAGATTCTGTGTGTCAGTGCGCGAATGCGAATGTGTGTGTATGTTGATAATCTCTGAATTAGTAATTTCAGTTTGATAATGATAAATGCAAAACTTAAAATTCTTTCTTCATTGGAACATGAAATAATATGTGTGCTTAAAAGAGAGAATAGGGTCTTTGAAGAAAAAATATATTTAATGCAACAAGCAAGCTTGAATCATGGGCAAAGTGGTATATAAAAGGGCTTTCACATATTAGTCCTGATCATTAACACTTAGGTATTTGTTTATCTTTGAGCAAGTCACTTAATCTGGCAGGGCCTCTGTTTTCATGTCATAATAATAATGAAACCTCTTATTACAATTTTTTAGAACACATCCCATACATTCCCATTTGATCATCACCACAGTCCTGTAAGGTATGCGTGGCAGATAATATTGTCCTCATTTTATTAATGAGGAGACTGAAACTCAGGTTAAATGACTTGCCCAAGGTCACAAAACTTATAAGTGTACAGCTCTGCTTCTTGATTTAAGAGTTTATAACCAGCACTCTTGAAACTAAATGCTTTAGCTTCATTTCAGCAAAAATGATTATAATAATCTATCCCTTGATGGCATTGAGAATGCTGAAAACAGAAGAGTGTAAAGCATTGTAGATGTTGTGTAGAAGCTGAAGTGAACATCTTTTGCAATTATTTCTGGATGGGAATAAAGTGAATATTAACCGACCTAAGACCATACAATTGTTACTGTTCTTTGGCCATTGATCATTTTTATTGGTAAACAAAGCCATGTTGTTTCTCAAGGCCCTGGCCTTAGGCACTTATTTGGACTTAGCTTGGTCTGAATCACAATAAAAAATGAGCCTACTAAGCAACTTTTTTGGGGGGGGGAGAAATTTTATAAAACCTTCTTTGCTTTTCTCTGGACAAGGAGTCAAGATATTTGATTTGTCCTATTTTGTATTTTTGGTAAGGATGCATCATTTTTATTGCAGCTTTTAGCATTTTAATTCAGAGTAATATTTACTGATCACAATATGCTATGCAGACTGTGATTTTGGATAATTCATTTAATCTCACATTGATTTAATTGATTTGATTCTCTACCTTCATGCCTTCTCTGCAAGGTGGACTAGAGTAGGATTCCTTACATTCTAAGGAACTACATTACAGTTTGGGGAGGATGGGAGGAAGCTGGATCAAGGTGGAACACCCCAGTGAAGTTGGGACAGGGCCCACTCTGATTCCCTGTGCTTGCCAGTGTGCTGCTGCAGGCGCACTTCCATTCATCTTTTCAGTTTACAGAGCCTCTTTAAAGTCGCTTGACAGTATGTAGCTTTCTTTTCATATATTCTCTGATCCTTTTATGCCCCAAATTCAATGGATGATTCTGAATTTCTGCAGTCATTCGTGGAGGATGTTGGAGAGGAAGGATGTGACAGGAGAAAGACAATGGAAAGGGGTAGTAAAGGAAATAGTAGGGGAAACACGGAAAGAAGAAAAACAAAGAAGATGGAACAAGAAGGAACAGAAATTAAAAACATATAATAAAGGAAAATCACATGTTTGCCTCCTGAAGATGTGTTACTTAATTTTTGTCACGATCCCTAAGTGCCTACGTAAATGGGTTTGATTTTAGTGTGTCTGAAATGTTACTTTCATGGTGCATGTCTTATGTGATTGCCTCAGTTACCTTGTTTTCCTGAGATTTGGGATGAATATAAAAGTTCTGATACTGAAAATGTCTTTCTAATATGTAAAAAAAATAGATTCGTCTTTATTTTTTTTTTTAAATCTGTTGCTGTTTTAGAAAACTGAAGAGCTAGTCTTGTTTTAAATAACATTTACGTTAGTTAAAATGTCATGCATGCCTACCTGAAAGTTGTCATTTTAATTTTTTGTTTTGAAGGAGCTGATGCTGCACACATGGATGGTGATCAAATTGTTGTGGAAGTTCAAGAAACTGTTTTTGTTTCAGATGTTGTGGATTCAGACATAACTGTGCATAACTTTGTCCCTGATGACCCAGACTCAGTTGTTATCCAAGATGTTATCGAGGACGTTGTTATAGAAGATGTCCAATGCCCAGATATCATGGAAGGAGCAGATGTATCTGAAACAGTCATCATTCCTGAGCAAGTGCTGGACTCAGATGTAACTGAAGAAGTTGCTTTAGCACATTGCACAGTCCCAGATGATGTTTTAGCTTCTGACATTACTACAGCCTCAATGTCTATGCCAGAACATGTCTTGACAAGTGAATCTATACATGTGTCCGATGTTGGACATGTTGAGCATGTGGTTCATGATAGTGTAGTAGAAGCAGAAATTGTCACTGATCCTCTGACCACTGATGTAGTTTCAGAAGAAGTTTTGGTAGCTGACTGTGCCTCTGAAGCGGTCATAGATGCCAACGGGATCCCTGTGGACCAACAAGATGATGACAAAAACAACTGTGAGGACTACCTTATGATCTCCTGTAAGTCTGGGGGCACAGTGATTGTTAAAGATGTTTTTGGAGGCCGTTTTTGTAACTTAGAGCAGGAGTGAAAATTTCTTGATTTAAATTTCGAAGGAATTAACCCAATAGAACTGCCTGCATTGTTGTTTAAGTTTGGAGCTTTAACTTAAAATTAAGCAAAGTGAGATGGTGCAGAGTAAAGTGCTGTTTCTACATCAGAAGACAGTAGGAAGATGAGATTTTGTCTTTCTAGAGAGACAAAAGCTGGAATGCAGCTTAACTTTGAAAATCATGAAGAATATGATGAGGCTTTTACCAGCTTCTATTAGCATTAAGAGTTTTCTTGAAATTTAAAAGGAGTTCACCTTGGACAAAAATTCATAGCCCAACTACTTATTTTTGTGAATATACAGTACTGCTAAGTTATACTTCCACATTCCCCCTAATTAAATTGAAAATACTCTTTATACAATATAACATGGACAAGGGATCTGGCATATTAAAATATGATTTTGAGAATAATGGATTCATATCAGGATGTTGGAGCATAAGTAAGCACATTACACCTTAGCTCGAAACATTTAACTTAGCATCCTGAAAGATAGCTGTGTCTTCTTGTTAATACTATTTCCAGAGACACAAATCTATGCTAGCTAGATTACAGTTCTGATTCAGTATTAAAATTTTTATATCTTAAAAAACTACAAATAAATAAATTTATAATAAGCATCATTGAAGAGTATTTGCTTTAATTTAATACCTGTTTTATTATAACATATTGGAGTCTACCAGGATTTTAGGAAAGACCTTATGAAAATTTTTGGGAGCTAAAATGAAAGCTTTTTTTACTCAGACAGTGTTATAGGTGCTACAGATATGTACTAAGCAAATAAGTACAGAAAACCACTGAGCCTGTAGAATTTCTAGTCTATCATAGGAGAGAATGGTGATAGTGTCGTAAGGAAATTGCCATAGAGACAGGATGGAATAGTTAACCTTTGAATTCAAGAATGAGTTCTAATCTTGCAAGATGAAGAAGGGCATGCTGGCAGGAAGAAATTGTGGGCAAATGGAGTATTATGTACAAAGAAGAAGAAAAAAGATTGTGAATGATGGGAATTCAAGATGGATTTATTTTTGTGCCCTCTCTTCTTTAAAATACATTTCTAGAAATCGCTTCTTAGCCTTTTGGCTAGGATCAAGTGTAAAATATATTTCTGTAAGTAGAACTGCTGGATCAAAGAATATATACAAATGTGGTTGTTTTAGCATTTCCCTGCCACCATTTATAAAAATTTGTATTTTCCTGTGCTGTAATAATCATAGGTTTCTCATTACCAGTTTTACCTGTCTGATAGACGAAAATAGGTTGTTTTGTTTGACTTTTGAATTTGTTGTAGGAAGGTAATCCCTGCTAGCATTGTGGAATAAGAAAAGGTGATAGATTTGTGGCACATTTGTTGAAATGATTCAAGTATGAGAAAGATCCCGAGTATTTTAATAAAAGGAAAAAGAGATGTTAGTTGGAATTGAGAGATTAAGAAATAAAATAGATGAGGTTTGATAACAGGTAAAATGGAGATGGGAATCTAAAGGACAAAGATAATTCAAAGATGACCCTAAGATTAGATGCAGACTCAAGATCTGATTCCTGAGAGGAATCTTCTTAATTTAGTAGTGAAAAATTATTTAGGACCTGTTAAAAAGTTTGAATTATTTGTTGGAAACAATCTGATGTATGTTTTTTTCAAAGCAGTTAAAAATGTGATTTTGATGCTTTGAAGAGAGTTTGTGACTAGAGGAAGGTATTTGTGACAACAGAATATAGAGAGTATCCTATATGGAAGTGTATGATGGTTCTCAAAGAATGCTTATAGAATGAGTATCTTGTATAAATTCTTTGAGTATTTTTTTTTAATTTGTTGGCCCCTTTGAGTATTTTAAGAAGTTGGCAGAGAAGAGCCTGTGAAGATTAGGAGCTTAGGGAAGAGGAGGAGGAGGAAATTCTTTAGAATGTTGTCAGCACTGTAGAGGATAAAACAGATTTTGGTGAGAAGATCATTGCATTGGTGTTAAATGAAAATGGTTTAAATAAAGCAAGAGCGAGTTCATAGGAAATCTAAGATGAATTGCAATGGATTGAGAAGATGAAGTGAAGTTAGGTGAAGTGGTTTGTATGCATTCTCATTTTGACCAGTGAAAAGAAGAATGAAGAGTACAGTTTTGGCTGATTTTCACAGGTACAGGAAATAAACCACTGGACCAATGAGAGTCTGAAATGATTGCTTCTGAGTTGATTGTATGCATACCATGGACAGTTCCTGTCCTCTGGAAGCATGTACTTCTGCCCTTTTACTGAGTTTTCATGCTATCTTGAGATGGAGTGTTTGGATTATCTACTTGGTACTCAGACAGCTTCTTTGTTCTTTAATCTGAGACAGCTGCGAGACTCTGATCACTTTGCAAGTGGTCTGAATTCAGGCTCCTGGAGTTTCATTTAGAAGGTAGACAGTCAAGATTCCATTTTGTGAGACACCAGTGTGTACAGTAGCAAAAGTCGGAGATGATCTGGTGATATTGAGTCAGGTGTTGCTTTACAACTGCAGGCAACAGAATATATTTTAGGTGCCTCTCATAGTAACATGATCAGTGAAAAGTCATTATGCTAGTACTTGTTGAAATTTTTTGTGTCTTAAATTTGAAGTTAGGTGGAAGATAGGTAAGAGGTTTGATAACTAGATTTAATTTAAGTGATGAATTAACTTTTTTGGGGTAAGTTTTAAGACAATTTATATATCATAAAATTGACCCATTTAAAATGTGTAATGTAGGGGCTGGCATGGTGGCATCAGGCTAAACTGCCAGCTCTGGCACCAGCGTGCTATATGGGCTGTTGATCCCAGCTGCTCCTCTTACATTCCAGCTTCCTGCTAATGGCCTGGATAAGCAGTAGAGTGTGACCCACGGTCATGGGTCCCTGCAGCCATGTGAGAGACCCAGAAGAAACTCCTTATTTGCAGGTTCAGACCAACCCAGCCCTGGGAGTGGTGGCTATTTGGGGAGTGAACCACCATATGGAAGCTTTCTCTAACTCTATAAAATCAGTCTTTAAGAAAAATGTGTAATTTGGAGGATGTGATTGTCCTAGCTGTTAAAATACTTGTTAGGATGCCCATATCCTGTATCAGTACCTAGGTTAAATGTCTAGCTCCTAGCTACAGCTGTGAGAGAGAAAACTTTCATCCGCTGATTCACTCCCCAAGTGGTTTGGACTGGGCTAGTTGGAAGTTAGGAACCAGGAACTAGGAACAACTTCTGGGTCTCGCTTGTGTCTACAAGGGCCCAAGTAGTTTGACCCTCTTCCAGTGCTTTGTCAGGGGCATTAGCAGGGAGATGGAAAGAAAGTGGAGCATCTAGGACCTGATCCTGTGCCTGTATGGGATGCCAGCACTGCAGTTGTTGGTATCACATGCTGCTCCATAGTGCTGGCCTTTAATCCACTTTTTATTTCAATAGGTTTTTTTATTCTGGACATTTCAGGTAGACTAAATCCTGTGATACTTGCATGATGTTTTTAAGGGTTCTTTCTTGCTGTAATTTGTATGGAGGTATACTTCAGAAAATTTGTGGAGGGGCAGGAGTTGTGGCACTGCAGGATAAGTTACCACTTGGGGCACTTGCAGCCCGTATTAGAGTGTTAGAGATCATGTTCTGCCTCTACTTCCAATCCAGCATCCTGCTAATGCACCTGGGAGGCAGATGATGGGTCCAAGTACTTGGGTTCCTTCTTCCCTACCCTCCACCCACCACCTTGGAGACCCGGAGTCTTTGAGTTTAGCTTGGCCCAGCCCCAGCTGTTTGTGGGCATTTAGGGAGTGAACTAATCAATGGAAGATGTCTGCACACCTCCCCCATCACTGTACCTTTCAAAATAAATAAATAAATAAATAAAATATTTTAAAGGGTTTGTATAAAAATGGAAGTAAGTTTATTTTGATGTGAAATATTTTTGAAATCATGCATAGGTTGTTTTTGTTTTGTAATATGCATTTTCACCAACTTTTTGAAGAGCCGTCATGTTTCATTCCTTTCATTACTGAGTATTATTCTGTTGAATGACTATTCACCCCATTTTAGCTCATTCATTACTTTCATAGATGTTAGAGTTGCTTCTCCTTTGTGTGTTATGTAATGTGAATATTTATGTGCAAGTTTTCTTGTGGACATAATTGTCTGTTGAATATTTAAGAGTGGAAGTGGTTTATATATGGGGGTGGAATTACTGGGTCACATGGTAGCTGTTTAACCTGCTTGCGAAACTGCACAGCCAACTCTGCATTCCCACCAGCAGTGGGTCAGGTTGCCGTGATTCTGTATGCCCTGCAACACTTGTTATTGGTGCTTTTATTGACAGCCACCCTAGTGGCTGTGAAGTTTCATTGTGGTTTTAGTTTGTATTTCCCTTCCTATGCTTATTGACCATTTTATATCTTTGAAGAAAGATATAAATATGAGCTCCTTTGTCCATTTCTAAACTTACATGTCTTATTGGGTTGAAGGAGTTCTCTCCATGTGAGTCATTTAGAAGATAACATGACATGGACACATTTTCTTCATTCTAATGACCTTGTGCAAGATACTCAGCTGTCAGTATTTCACTTGTCTTCTCCTGTGGAATGGAAATGACCATAGTACCTACCTTGTAGGGTTGTTCGGAGGATTGACTAAGTTTAAACGTGCAAAGCTGTTAGTATACTACGTTGTAAATGTTTGCTGCTAGATAGTGTTTTCCCTTAAGGCTCAGTTATTTAGCAGTGAATTTTAACTTCTTTCCCCCTGAGCATCATGATTAAAGTGGTGCCTTTTAGAAGGAGGTTCTTTTTTTTTTTTTTTTTAAGATTTATTTTATTTTTATTTCAAAGTCAGATATGCAGAGAGGAGGAAAGATAGAGAGGAAGTGGAGCTGCCAGGATTAGAACCGGCGACCATATGGGATCCCGGCACATTCAAGGTGAGGA